TCTAAGTTCAGTTATGTACCTGTAGATTCAAAATTACATTGGCCAGATGTAATCCGAAATACCTTACACACTGATCTCTTAACTTATTATATTTATTCCAAAGGTGCTAACTATGTCTGGGACCCTAATATGCAATGAAATAGTCTAAGTCTAGATATCATGCATGTGAATACCTAAATCCCTTAAACTCAGGCTCTGATACAAACTTTGTAACACCCCCACTCCATACATTGCATATAACACATATATTATACATAGAATACATGTCTTCTCCCACATAGGTCCACAATACAAGAGACTAAAATACGCAACCCAAAAATTCCAAAAGTACATGTTCKTGCATCCTAGCATCTATGCTTCCAAAACACTAAACCCATAGGGAAGTAATTCACATAATGCTCTTTCCTTTATTATCATTACCTGCACACATAATTTTGAAAACACGAAATGAGGGTTAGACATGAATGTCTAGTGAGGTTCCCTTTTTATGTAATGCAGGGTGAAGATCACCAAAACATTTATCAAATAATCATTTCACAATATGCGGAATAAAAATCAGATTCTGTTTTGGTCCATCGAGCCTCTGGTTCCAAACCACACTTGGAATATATTTTAATAACTAGGACCAGAACCCCTCTGGTCTCTTTTCCAGAGCTTCTGGTTCCACGACCAGAGCCCCTCTAGTCTCTCTTCCAGAGCTTCTAGTTCCTCGACCAGAGCCTCTAGTTGTACTAACCAGAACTTCTGGCTCATAATTTCTTAAAATGGTCTTTAGTTAAGCTTTCAATCAATAAAATAGCCTTTTTCATAAAAGGAGTAATTATGAAGAGTTCATGTTCGACCAGAGCCTCTGGTTGTACTAACCAGAGCTTCTGGTTCCAAAAGACATGATCAACCAGAGCCCCTCTGGTTCAACGTGTAAGCCAACCAGAGCCTATCTGGTCTGTTTTTCATAAAAAGATTCTAAGTATAAAATCATTTTCTTAAAAAACTTCTAAAAATATGATTTTGACATAGAAGCTCTTATCAATGGATACAGAGCCTCTGATCCAATTAGTACATTTAGTAAAAACTTGCTCATTCTCCAAATCAATAACCAGAATCCTCTGGTCCAATAATGAGGACCAACCAGATCCCCTCTGGTTCCTTACAAGGCACAACCAGATCCCCTCTAACACTTTTAACCAATATCAATGGCCATAGGCCAAGTTTTTCCATTCTCAATAACATCAATACTATTATTTCTAATAAGAACAATATCTTTGAGTTCTCAAATCACAAA